TCTATTTCATTTGGCTGATTAAGCCCTTAGAGTTATCTATCCTTCAAAACAAGATTCACAAGTTTGGTTTAGGCTCCTTTGCCTCACTAGGTAATAAACCTTCTTTAACCAATCTTTAAATCTCATTTTGATTGATTACAACCCAAAAATAGACACCAAAAATACAATGAGTCAGGAATAACAAATTTTCTCTTAATATTCAATCTAGAAGATGCAACATTAGTTTCTACATCCTGCAAATCTTAAGAGCTTGTGATTATAGTATATTAACCATCTTTCAATACACCAGAAGCAATCACATATCTATTCAATTTTATAAAACCAGTTTTACAAAATAACGATCTAGTTTTTATAAGCCAAAAGTGAAATAAGAATGAGATTGCGTTTCACTTCTGTGCATAAAGATAGTTCTCTAATACTAATATCCTCATACTCTCTAATTTCAGATGTAATACTCCCACTGACTTAGTTACAACCTTGGCATCAGGTCAAAAGATAAATATATACCCATATCATCAAGGCTTCTGGATTCCTGAAATTCTTACAATAAATTGCAAACATGTTCAGTGGCTCCAGAATCTATCCATCAGGAATCAATAGATACAACCACATAACATGGCTCAATGATTAAATATATATTTTCCTATGCCACGTCATTGCTTAGACAGTTTGTCCTTTAGTGTCTTAGTTAACGGCAAAAGAAACAGTTTCATTCGCCCTCCACATACACTGCCTTATTCCCTTTAACCTTTTAGATACCTCTGTTTTGTGCTAGCCTAGTCCTATTATCATCCTTCTTCTTTGCTTTGCCCATCCACTTGGGCCTAGAAGAAGATGGTATAGACTAGGTTAGATTGATAGGAACGCCCATACTCTTGATTATCCCTTCTTCTGTTACCAATTCTATAAGAATATCAGCGAGTGTGAACTCAAACTGATTCCTTATTTAGTTCACTCTAACAGAGTCGAATGAGTTTGGTAACAAGGCAATAATCATGTCAACTTGAAACTTACCACCCAAGTCAGCCTTATTGATCTCCAGCTAATTTTTAAATAATAAACAATCATTTTCCAAAATTTGATTTCAAACTGGAGTTCATCAGGCTATCTTGATGGTATTTAAATTTGACACAGTACTTAGGCATATGCTCTATCTAATCTCACCAAAATATCTCATTGACATTTAATATGATGCTTGAAGAAAATAAAATAATACAAATGTTAGCTTTGGAGTATATTCGAGCTAAACTCTAGAATATTGCACCAAGTCATATCATTTGCCTTATCTAATTTATTAAAAGCATTAATGTCAAATTTGGTATCTCAAAGTAAAAGAGATAGGTATAGGAGTAATAAACACATTTTGTACCCTTACGTTGTGAATAAAATATCTAAGTTCATTTTCCAGTCATTATAAATAAGGTCCAATATCATAGAATATGTAAGCAAGTAGATAAACTGGATTAGACATAATTAATCTGAATATAAATGCATTCATACAATATGCAAGGTGAATTATTAATTCTGTCATGCATATTTAAAATTAAAATGAGTTTGTTAACCACATAATATAATAAATCTCAATCGAACAAGAGATCATTATCATTATTGGTGAACAATCCCTTTTAATTAATGCGGGTCCCTCAACTCTGTAGCATAATAAATCAACCAATTAATATGTCAATAACTTATCCTGTTGGAGGAGTTCATTATTACTATTGTTGAGATTCATTTACTATTAGGTGAGCATTTCCATTAAAATAGTATGTGGGTCCCTTAACCACTGCATGAAAAATCGGATAACCAATACACCAATAACTTATTCGGTTGGCGAAGTTCATTATTGCTATTGGCGGGCAAATCCCATCATCTCCATATCTCTTAAGACAATGCCTTGTCTATCTATATGAAATGACTCCCGATTATGTTTAGCCTTTCTAAAATCACCTAGTGTAGACCACTCCGTTGGGGAGTTAACACTATTGATTTTAGATTGAGTGTATAACATTATTAATGCTCTAATGAAAAATAAAACATTAAATATGTTGTCATTATAATCTAGACTCTTTAAATCATGCGTAAGGCCTTATTTTTAAAGATCTAATTACAATGAACATTTAATATTTTTATTTTCATGAGACAACCATTCTTGTAATATTAAGACTCTTCAAATCATGCGTGGGGCCTTATTTTTGAAGATCTAATTACAATGGTTTTAATAACGAAGGCCATGGGGCAATGTATAAAAATCCCCGCTCCCACTCAATTTTTAATCATTCATAATCAGGGTTTTCATTTTATTCATTTACATGATATAATGCATGCAAAACGTCTTGATTTTAATCCAATTAAATTTAGAAAATATTTGGACTTTAAACGACTCACTAATATTTAACTTGAGGCACACTTCAAAAATAATTTATAAAAATAATTTTTCGTTTCCCAATAAGTGCCCTCTAATTAATTAGTAATCAAATCCAATTAATTTTCATAATTTAACTAATATAAATCAAGCCATTTAAATAAATATCATGGATCCAATGCATGAACAATAATAATTAGCAATTAATTATTTCATGCATCTCATACAACAATAAATGACAGATAAAGCAAATAAAATGGCCAATGGAATCAGCTTTTAACATTTAATTGCTCTAATCACTGCGCGAAGATCTTCCATCAGCTTGCAAACACCCACATAAGGTTGGTACGCACCAGGAGAAGCAAAACACGGCTTGGAACGCGACTGGAGGGCCCCACACGCGCTCACACGCGCCTGGGGCATGCTGCAGGTGAAGCCACGCGCCCCCACGCGCTGGCACGCGCCTGGGGCGCATGGGACGCGTGGGACGCGCCTCCACGCGCTGGCACGCGCGTGGAGGCCATACACACTTGGCTGGCGCGTGCAATGCACGCGCCAGCATATGTCACCTCCTGGCGCGTGTTCCTCACGCGCCAGGCTCACCCCACCGCTGCCATACCTGATTCTAGCCTCCTCCGACGTCTCTTCTCGCCGCCGGTGATGCTTCGGCCACCGGAAAAACGCCGAAAAATCCAGAAAAATTAATAAAAATTTCCAGAAATTAAATTAGGCCTTAAAAAATTCCAGAAAAATTGCTAAAAAATCCCAGAAAATTTCTGAAGCCTAATTTAACCCTCTTGGACCTTCTTGAAGCTTCATAGCATCCTTTGACAAAGATTACATGGCTTTAAAAATATTTACAATTTGAAATACAATGGAAAAAATTAAATTACATCATTGAACTTTCAAACGGCTAAATCAAAGCCTTAATTACATTCATCCAAAGATAAAATTATATTAATTTAACCTATAAGCTTCATCCATGGCCCAACCATACATCATCATTCATTCACAATCATTCATACATCATTATGTATCAATATATATCAACATATTAAATCATACATCAACATACATCAATAAAAATATATATGAATATAATTTTGGATCCATGAATGATGATTTTCATAAAATCATGATCTCTAATAATGAATCAAACCATGCTCTGATACCACTGTTGGGAAACGTGCTAGTTTTAAAACTTTTCGAGGGGTTTAAATTCATAGATCTTGATTCATCACTTAGAGACAAGTTTTATGCAAAAATAAAACATGATGTATCATTCAATTAAAAGATTGAATACTTACATCAAGGTTTGAGTAAACCTTAGATCTCTCCTCTAAAGTGAATGTTCTCACTTATTGTAGATCCCTTTTGCTAGACACCTTTTTCATGGATCTCCATCTTCTTGGTAATTCTTTTGCCTTTAGGAATCACTCATATGCCTCCATGAATGACCTTGGAAAACTAGGCTTGTGGGAGCCTCCATTAGATGAGAACATAAACCCTAATTTTCTAGAGAGAGAAAATTTATTCCTTTTTCCTTCTCATAAAAATCACCCCCTAAAATATACATAGACCATGTATATTTATAGGCAACATAAAAATAAAGAAAAGGAAACAACAAATCCTTCTCCATCTCTAATTCATATGTCTCAAATCTAATATGATTCCAATATCAAGTTGGGCTATGAGTGAGAATCCATTGGGCCTATTATTTTATTGGGTACAATGAATTAATAATTGGCCCGGTCCATGGACCCAATTCAATTAATTCATAAATTAATTTCTACTCCACTAAAAGAAATTAATTGAACTCCAATTAAATAATAAATAACCTCTAAGTCAATATTGCACTTTGACCCCTCTATGCATAATTAGTTATCGGATAAATATAGCCATCAAACCGACTACTTAATTAATATATTTATTTTGGTACCTTTGATTATTTCTGGCTCGATCACAATAAAACATTTGTTTGACAAAAATAATAATTTAAATAAATAAATATATAATAAATCATTTTGTCTAAAAACACACGAAGGCCTTCGAATTTACTTTGTGATCAACCATAATCAATACAAAATAAATACAAGTAGCAATGATGCAAATATTGAAAATATAACCCTCTAACTATTAATTACATAACTACCCAAAGTGTCGGTCTAAGGATCCCGAAGAATCCGCCGAACAAATCAAAGTAATTATTAATTAATAAAAGAGTATATACTTTTCTCACGCTTAAGAGTCAAATGCCATGACGGTGATAGGGAGTAATTGCATACGACGGCTCTCGCAATATATCTCAACCTAACGCGGATCCAGTTCAAGTCTTAATTAATTATGAGTCCATCCATAATTACCGACTATGAACAATTTATAATTACTATTTATATATCATGCATTGATTGTCATCACATACATATATATAAATATTTCTTGTAATTAACTGGACACTATCAATTTCATAGTGAATTGAAACATAATACATTGAATTCACCAATTATATAAATCATAAATATTTCAGATATGTCAGGAACATATGTTAATACAATCCAGATAGGAATTTGCTATGCCAGGGCATATAAATCTCGACACTTACTTCATCAAGGTCTTTATTAAGACCCAACAGAAACTTCTAGATTCGTTCTTTCTCGACAATCTTTCTATATTTTTCTGCATCTCCGGGAGTATCCCATACAGAGGTCTTGAACATATCTAGTTGCTGCCAATGACAAGTGAGTATATTGAAATATTGGGTAACAGACATCTCACCTTGTCGTAGATCATGAAGGATACCCTTAATTTCAATCAGTTCTGATGTATTTTCATTATCAGAATAAGTCTCTCTTGCTGCATCCCACATCTCCTTTGTTGTTGCATAGAACATGAAGTTTTCTCCCACCTCTGTAGTCATGGAATTAACGAACCATGACATAACCATCATGTTCTCAGCTTTCCAAGTTTTGAATTTTGGATCTTCTTTCGCTGGAGCAGTAATCTCTCCGGTGAGATAGTCGTCCTTTCCTTTGCCACAAACATACATCATGACGGATTGAGACCATTGTGGGAAATTGTTTCCGTTCAGTTTGTGTCCGGTAATTGGTAAGACTGAGCCTTCGGATCCTCCGACATGGCTGAGGATGGTTTTTTCTTGAGGAGATGTCATATCCAAGCAAGAGCTTTATTTCTGCTCTGATACCAAAATGATGATAGGTGAATACTCCGAGAGAAAGAGAAGAAGAAATTCTCTTATTGCATATTTAGAAATTGTACATAAACAATACATAAATAGGAAAATTTGGAGGCTACAGACCAGCTACTCAATTTCCTAAATTGATGTAATTAAACAAGCAACAAATAAATATGAATTAAACTAGGAAAGTCAACACACAAAAAATCAAATCAACATTAAATAGGAAAAACAATCCGCCAACATTTACACCCTAAAATTAGGGTGCCAGCTATTCATGGATAAATCCATGTCTCCACTACGTATTGAGAAAAAAGAAAGAATTCTCAACACTTAGTCCAATGATAAAAGCTGTGTGTTAATGGCCTTTTAGAGTAGGTGTTTCTCTTCCATCATCTCAATCGTATTGTGTTTCTGAAACAGTACTCGGCAATGCTCAAAAGTTTTTTCAGTCAACTTTTATAGGCAACTTGCCTTCTTCTTCTTCTTGTTACTACTAATACTTCTACTATTTACTACTCCATTACTTTTACTATTATTTGTGATCTTTTGCCATTCAATTTGTTGGTGTGAAAGACACAATTAGCACACAGCTTACGCCATGTTTTCTTTTTCTTTTTCTTTTTTTTCCTAGTTTCATGTTTCCATTGAAGCTCGAATCATTGACCTCCATTTACAACGTAGGAACTTAGTATTTTTAAATTGCTTGGGACATCAAAAGTAGAAGAGTTAAATTGTAAGTAAATATGGAAATTGAAATTCAATCGACTTAAATATATTACTAAAATACCAAATGATTTTAAAATTCTCTTTCCACCAGCCTGGTACATATATTGAATAATGCATTTCATAATAAATAAATAAACTAAAATATGCCCTTTTTTTATGGGAAACTGGCAGTTGGAAACAGGGCAAGCTCTTGTGCTGAAAAATTGAATGTTTTAGTCTATTCTGGTTTGGAATTCCTCCTTCACACAATAACAAATTATATGACAGTCCCGGTACAAAACAGAAAACAATTCTTACGATAGGGTTGTGATCCGCTCTCAAACCTTACACAATTAGCCCCTTTTAGATAATTCAGTTAATTTATTTCTTCTTTTTCAAATAAAAGGATAAAAATAATAAATAAATAAAAGTTAACACTTGCTCTTTAACCCTTCGACCAATTTCTTAGATTGTGTTATCTTCTTCAAAATGCATTACGCAATCAATAAAAAGTATTTAACGCATCTTTATAGGATAACAAAGGAATGATACTGCTGGTGTCAGCAAGAACATGAAATCTTACTCAGACCAAAAAAAAATGTAAAAGAAACACAAAATAGATGGCCAGTCTAAGTTAAATGAGAGGTTACCTTTTAAGTAGGGCTATCTTCTTTTGTGGGTGACACTACATAGAAGTATGTGTACACCGTACAAATTGATGCTACATCTCTAAGTGGCGGGCGTCTCAGATACTGGTATAACGAGAAACCGTTCTAACCAAACATTCTTTAAGGTTGTAGTCACAACGAAAATTAAATATCCGCAATCACCCGTTTAAATTATTATTTCAAAGTTGAAACCCATGTTGATGAAAATTAGTCATACTATTATTACATTCATAATGCAGAACCTACTAACCTACTACTACAAACAAGAAAAAAGTTGAATTATAAAAATTAACAAATAATGAATGAGGATGTGGACCAACGAAGGTGCCAATGGCATATCCCTTGGAAGATGCTAACTTGGAACCCCCACATTTCACTCTTTCCTACTTTATTTTTCTCACCTTTAACCAAAAGTGACCCACACACCTGCACTATTTAAGCCACCTTTCTCTTCCATTGCTTTCATGTCCAAAAGAATATCCTTTGTACAAGGCCAAACTTCTTCATTAACCCTTCCTAGTACTCCCACTACCACCACATGATGTAAGGCTGCACCGGCCACCCCGGCCAGTGGCTAGCTCAACCCGAACCGGCTGGGGGTGGCCGCATCTAGTTCAGTCCGCGGTGGTGTGTGTCAGTGTGTGTTTGTTTGCATGTGTATGTGATGTGCGTTAATTCATCCATTTTGAAGGAAAGGAATCGCTTTCTTTCAAGGCGGTTTCCGTTATAGGGCAACCTCAATCCTTTGGCATTTTCGACTCTGTGAACTTCTGCAATGGAGAGTCAGATTATATTCTTTATGTTTCAATTTTTCTTTTCTTTAAATAATTATTAGTGTGTATCAATTATTGTCATATTTTGCAACTGTTCATGCACATATATATGTGTGTCTCTGAAGTATTCTGGCCAAAGTTTATGTATAATTGATTAATTGTAGTGCAGCTGTATGTGTACTTGGTGAAAGTTTTGCTTGAGTACTTAATTATGGATTGAAAAGCAGTGTCAGTTACTCTGCGGAGAACAAGTTGAGTTCTGCCTCAGGACTTTTGTATATGATGGTCATCAGTCAGGACATACTCGCCTCGTAAACCATAATTGTAATTTGTAAAGAAAAATAATATTTGAAACGTAATTAGTCGGTCTGAATATCATGACTTATTTGTAAAATATATAAAAAAAATATTTTTCAAATTTCTATTATCATTATTGCTCAAGAAATATATGTTGGAGAATGTTGTTTGTAATATTTTGGATTCATACAAATCTCGTCAGTATTGTTTAAAGTATTATGATAAAAAAAAACATCTATTGCATGAAAAACAGAGTAATTCATGCTAGCTGCATGCTTTTCGTAGACGGTTCACCATGAACAATGGGATTGTTAATATAATTCTAGTCACTTTTATGTTAAAGCAAAATAAAAAAAGTTAAATTTATATTAATTTTATTCTTTCACCACCCTTAATTTACAAAATTGCATATTGTTTACATATTAGCTTCTCAATCCAACCAAAAAGAGCATCTTGAATCCTTGATTCTTTCTTCCTTTTTTTTTTTTTTTTTTTTAAGTTGAAAAGCTAAAATGTCTATTTTTCAACTGTGTTCAACACATTTATTCTATATTTCAATATAATATAACAAATGTGTTAAAATATAATTTAAATAAGTTTAAATTTTAATGTTGAAAAGATATTTCAACACAATTATTTTTAAAATTTCAAACACATAAAATATTTGTTAAAATTTAGAATAAATGTGTTGAATTTTTTTAGAACAAACTCCTAATATTTATTAAAATTTAGAATAAACGTGTTGAATTTTTTTATAACACGCTCTAGTAAGAGTTTGGTACACACGTCCGCTGTACCAAAATGGATAGATCAAAATTTAATACCATGGGCGAGTTTAGATTCTATTATTATACATGCGCACGCGTGAAAGAGAGAACCAACTAAAGGTCTCTAACACTACTAGTACCAAAAACAAAAAATAAAAAATAAAAAATAAAAAAGAAGGGAAATCTCTCTGGCATTAAAAGCACCATGCACTGGTATCAATGGTCTGTTTCAATTAGAGAAAAAATGCGAGGATTGAAAATGATATTTGATATTTTTACATATGACCTAGTTAAAATAGGTCAGTAATTATCTATCAATTAATCTTAAATTAGGGAGAAAATAATTCAATCCTACAACTATACTATAAGAGATAAAATCTCAACACTTCTATATGCGACTAAACTTTTGAGAAAATAGACATCTTCTCAGAGGGAATGGTCTGTTTCAATTAGAGAAAAAATGTGAGGATTGAAAATTATATTTGATATTTTTACTGATGGTATTACATCATATTTATAGAATAGGACCTAGTTAAAATAGGTCAGTAATTATCTATCAATTAATCTTAAATTAGGGAGAAAATAATTCAATCTTACAGCTATACTATAAGAGATAAAATCTCAACACTTCTTCTCAAGTTGGTGCATAGATGTCACACATGCCCAACTTGTCTAAAAATTTTGAAAACACTTGATTTGAGATTGCTTTGATGAGAATGTCGGCTAGTTGATCATCAGATCGAATATTAGGCAACTCCACAATTTTCCCATCCAACTTCTCCTTAATGAAGAATTTGTATATTTCGACATGCTTCGTACAATCATGTTGAACTGGATTATGGGCAATATCACATGCTGCTTTATTGTCACAAAATAGTCGAATAGATTGCCCAGGTAGATAACCCAAATCCCGCAAGAGAAGTCTTAACCACAATATTTCACAAAATGCAAGCGTCATACCTCTGAATTCAGCTTTTGCACTCGAGCGAGCAACATCGTTTTGTTTCTTGCTTCTCCATGTAACAAGATTACCTCATACAAAAGTAAAGTAACCAGAAGTAGATCGCCTATCATCTATAGCTCCAGCCCAGTCAGCATCAATATATGCATCTATGTTTTGATAACCAGCATTTTTAGTGAACAAAATTCCTTTTTCCAGGAGCAGATTTCAAATACCTCAAAATGCGCATAACTGCATTCATATGTTGCTCTACAGGATCATGCATAAACTGGCTAACAATGCTCAATGCATAAGCCAGATCTGGTCTCGTGTGTGCTAAGTACATCAATCTCCCTACAAGTCTTTGGTAACTTCCTTTATTAGCAGGTACTTGGTTAGACTCAACACATAACTTCAGTCCTTCTTCCACTGGTGTCTCAGCAGGTTGACATGCTGTCATGCCAGTCTCTTGTAATAGATCTAAGGCATATTTTCTTTGAGATAGAAAGATTCCTTTATTAAATCGAGATACTTCTATTCCAAGAAAATATCTTAAAGGATCTAGATCTTTCATTTCGAATTCTTTGGACAAGTACTTCTTGAGAGCCTTCATTTCTTCAGGATTATTCCATGTAACCACCATGTCATCTACATATATAATGAGTACAGTGATCTTATCCTGTTATTTCTTCAGAAATAACGTATGATCTGAATTACTCTGACGGTAGCCAAAGGCTATCATAGACTTTGTGAATCTTTCAAACCATGCTCTTGGAGATTGTTTCAACCCATATAATGATTTATTTAACCTGCAGACCTTCCG